CATCAGTCGGTGCATCTGTGCCTCTTGACACAGGTTAATTCAGTTCAAGACTCATCCTATCTATAACATCCTATCTTTGTGAGGCAGGATTTTCTGTGGTTACAGCAAATAAAACAAAGCTACGGAGCAGACTGGACATCAGGAGCACACTTCGTCTGTCATTTTCTCAGATTACGCCTAGATGGGACCGGCTTTTTGTTTTATTTTATGCTGTTTATATTTGATTTATTTATGCCAGTCGTATCATTTTACTTGATCTTATTTAACCCCCCCCGGCCGGTCCGTGAAAATATTGTCTGACATGTAGCGGTCCGTGGTGCAAAAAAGGTTGGGGACCACTGGTTAAGAGGACCCAAAAGCAGAGGCAGAGAGGCTGAGATTATTTCTTGCAGTTTAATTGGTAAAAACAGTAAGCAAAGGTAGGAATCCAAAAATCCAACTTAAAATGTACACCAGACCAGAACCATGGAGATATCAGGAGCAAACAATCAGCAACAGCAATGAGAAGCCAGCGATGAAAAGGAACCAGCAAAGAGTGACAGCAGAGGGAGGGTATATATGGCTGACTGAACAAAGGCAGGGCTAACGAGCTGATAAGGAGCAGGTGTGAGTGGAGAGCAGTCTAGGAAGGAGCTAGGGAAAGGGAGACCAACACAATGGGGCAACAAATAGAAACCAAAGAACACATATATCCAGAAAATACAACAAAATAGTAATTAAACCAATAAAACATGGAGCAAAGTAAAGCATAACAGAACAAAGACCAATACACCGAATAACAAAAAACAAAAAAAAACAAAAAACATTAAATTGGATCCAACTATCTCCAAACATTTTTTAATCCTATGGTTTTAGATTGAGCTAAATGTAACTGATGGCTGCACATCATCACAGGAAAACAAAGGCCTCCAAGGCTCACTTATTTTAATCACAATCAGAATTTAAAGTGAATTTAAATGTTATAAAATGTACAAATATCATTTATTTTTACCTCATAATGTGTCTCTCTGATTACTGTCCATTTAGTATAATTAAATTTATGAAGGTTGGATTCAAGCCACCTTGGAGGCTCTACCAGGAGACATACACAAACAGACATGCAGGAGGTCAAAGGGGGGCAACAACCCAGCAATAGGACAGCTACCTCTGACTTTATGCAGAGAGGAACAGGAGACCTGCAAAAAGACCCTCAGCAGGCTACAATNAACATTAAATTGGATCCAACTATCTCCAAACATTTTTTAATCCTATGGTTTTAGATTGAGCTAAATGTAACTGATGGCTGCACATCATCACAGGAAAACAAAGGCCTCCAAGGCTCACTTATTTTAATCACAATCAGAATTTAAAGTGAATTTAAATGTTATAAAATGTACAAATATCATTTATTTTTACCTCATAATGTGTCTCTCTGATTACTGTCCATTTAGTATAATTAAATTTATGAAGGTTGGATTCAAGCCACCTTGGAGGCTCTACCAGGAGACATACACAAACAGACATGCAGGAGGTCAAAGGGGGGCAACAACCCAGCAATAGGACAGCTACCTCTGACTTTATGCAGAGAGGAACAGGAGACCTGCAAAAAGACCCTCAGCAGGCTACAATCGTGCATGTGTCTGCACAAATGGTTAGAATCCGACTCCATGAGGATGGAATGAGGGCCCCACATCCAAAGATGGCGGTTGTGCTCACAGCTCAACACTGTGCAGGACGCTTGACATTTCCCAGAGAAAACCAGGACTGACAAATTCGCCACTGGCGCCCTGTGCTCCTCACAGATGAAAGCAGGTTCACACCGAGCACATGTCACAGACATGATCGAGTCAGGAGACACCTTTGAGGATGATCTACTGCCTGCAACATTCTTTAGCATGACCGGTGTTGAATGGGTCAGTAATGGTGTGAATGACATTTGTTTGGAGGGCTGCACAGCCCTCAATGTGCTCGCCAGAGGTAGCATGACTGCCATTATTTACCAAGACGAGATCCTCAGACCCCTTTTGAGACCGTATGCTGGTGCGGTTGGCCCTGCGTTCATCCTAAGGCACGGCAATGCTACACCTAATGGGGCAGTTCCTGCAAGATGAAATCATTGAAGCAATGGACTGGCCTGCCCGTTCCCCAGACCTGAATCCGATTGAGCACATCTGGAACATCATGTCTCAATCCATCCACCATAGCATGTTGCACCACAGGCTGTCCAGGAGTTGGTAGTTTGGCAGGCCTGGGAGGAGATCCCTAGGAGACCATCCACCATCTTATCAGGAGGAAGCCCAGGTGTTTTTAGGGAGGTTTTAAAGACACATGGAGGCCACACACAACAGTAGGCCTCATTTTGACCTGTTTAAAGGACATTACATCAATGTTGGATGAGGCTTTATATTTTTCCACTTTAATTTTATTTTTATTATTATTGGTAACCTTGATTTCCATTGATGATTTTTGTGTGATTTTGTTGTAAGCAAAGTCAACTTTGTACAGAACAAAGTATTCAATGAGAATATTTCATTCATTTAGATATAGCAGGGTTCCTACAGCATAAGGCAAGTTAAATTCAAGACTTTTAAGACTTTTTAATGCCACTTGAAATAAAAATTTAAGACCAAATTCACAAGAAA